GTCCAGCCTGGAAGTAATAAATGCATGAACTAGTTTTTCAGCGTCACTCTGAGACAGGATATTTCTAATTTTAGAGATGTTGCGCCATTTCAGCCTGCTTTCAAACATCAGTTAATGCAGTTATGTCAAAGCCACAGACATGGCTCACTTAAACACAAATTCACCCTCTGCATCTGATCCCCGATGCACAGGTTTAAGGTACTGTCACTCCTGATTGGTCATTTATGATGATGAGGGTTTTTTTTTTTTTTTTTGGACCACTTATCCATCCCAGTGAACAGTGAATTTTAACTTACTTTGCCTGTTTTTCAGTCCTTTCATTTAGCTCCTTTTGTCCTGTATATAATGAAAGTCTGCCTAATCTTCACACTGTAACACACCAAGCTTCAAGTGCAGATTTGTTGGTATCTAAAACTGGACAATTATCTGCTTCTGCGGGAAATTAGACCAAACCACATTATCGTAGCAGAACAAGGTGGTCCTTTTTTTGAATTTTCCACACTCAGCATGTTTTAAAATTGTGGTTTAAGACCAGATAAGGTCAGGTCCCCATATAGGAGCCTCTACTATAGTAAAAGATTAAAACAATAGTGATGTACCCATGTCTACATAGAGAATAACTATTCTTATTCTTTATACTGCCTGTGAATTTCCAGAACTTAACTCCACTGTAAGAAAAGGGAAATGAAATACATCCCCCACTATTCTCTCTGATTAAGCTTGCTTGAGTCAGCATCTTTCAAAGTCACAGTCTAATTTCCTCTTTCATTCCTTATCATGCTGTGGTGGAGGAATACCTACTAGTTTCATGCAGGTTTTGTTGCCAGAACCAATTAATCACATTGTAAACACAGGTAATCAGAAGCTTAATGTGGTGAAACAAACATGTACACATATGAAAAAATACATACAGTAGCTACTATAGCATACAGAGTATTAATTTGCATGTACAACGTCATAAGCTGTTGTCAGTAGCTGCCGTGAAGACATTTTCTTCCTCACAGTAGCTGTACTGCTGTGGAAATATCTGAAAAATGGGCTTCATATGTTAGACGTTGTTTCTCCCATCTTTGTAAAAGGTGTATTCACCTGACAATGAACGGAAAACTAACTGGGGAAAACACTTGTGCACTCACTTTGTCCTTCAGAACACCCTTGATAAACACAGACACAAATTGTATTCTTTGTCTTGTAAATTATAAGGGGGTCTAGAGGACAAGCTGGAGCAACTCTTGAGATGTCGCACAAACACAAATAACAAGATTAACTGCCTATACAGACAGTAGGAATGGGAACCTCAAGTCTTAAGTTTAGCTTGAGAAGTAGATGAGGCATGCCAGTGTCAAATGACTTGATTCTCCTTGAAACAGTGTCCATAGTAAAGCTAGTATATTTGAAAACAACCAGAAAACAAGTAGCTCCTTTAATCGTTTAAAAACAAAGCAATATAAGTAATAATAATAATGATAGTACTAGTAGTAATAATAAGTAAAAACATTTTTGGTTTAATACTTTCGAAATCTTTCAATATTTCAAAATTATAGTGATTTACTTTCACACTGAACATCTGGTTCAGTTCAATTCAAATCAATTTTCAAGACGCTTTATATTGTAAGGTAGACCCTACAATAATACATCCTGAGAAAAACCCAACAATCATATGACCCCCTATGAGCAAGCACTTTGGCGACAGTGGGAAGGAAAAACTCCCTTTTAACAGGAAGAAACCTCCGGCAGAACCAGGCTCAGGGAGGGGCGGGGCCATCTGCGGCAACCGGTTGGGGTGAAATAAGGAAGACAGAGAGCCAGAGAGATGATTGAAACTTGCCTACACTACAAAGTAGTTAAAAGTAGCACATTGATGTGCAGAAGCAGTGAATGTGCCAGTATTAGTAATGTAATTTATTTTGTAAACACAAGAACATTTAGTTGGCAATAATTCTGTACTATTTGCGAATTTGACATTTATACTTACATGAGATTTAAATAATTCTTTATTTTGTGCACGTACTTGATAAAGGTCAGATAGACAGATTTGTAATTAAGAAATATTTCAAGCAGTAGCAGTAAAGGTATCATGAATAGCTATCTATTCATGTTAACTTTGCCCTCCCCAATTCTATTACAGAGATTTAGGAAAGTGAAAGTCACATAGTGTTTAATGGGGTAAAAAGTTCAAATTCCCTACAGCTATATAAAAAAAAGCATTTTTACTTGAAAATTTTCTAAGGTTTCATTTTTAGTTTTACTGCCTGTAGTAACTATTTTGCTAATTGCACAAAGCATATTCTTTCAGAACAACCTGCTGGCTAACCCAATCAAAAGGTGGGGATT